CCCCTCCCATGCCTGCACAGTGAGGGGACAGTAGGGCCAGGCAGTGACACCAGGGTGTCCCCAGCACAACCCACTGCCTCCAGAGCAACAGCCACCAACACCGCTTACAACAACCTCTTGAAAAACCCCTGTGAAGGCAACGAGTGTGTCCTCCCTTGAGCATCTCCATACTCCAAACTCACTTGCAAAGCATCCACCTCAGCCTGGCCTGGCCTGCCCATGCGAGCATCCCTGCCCGGGCATCTCTGAGACTGTCTGCAGTGCTTGGAGGTGAAACACCCACCACGAACACGTTGGGGCTGCTCCAGACCCTGCAGATCTCCATCCTCCATCAGTCCCTTGCTCCAGAGCATCCAACACGCAAACCCAGCACTGTCCATTCGCTCAACGCATCCTTTGGGCAGCGCTTACACCAACAGCCCTGCGGTCCATGCACAAACCTGCTCCTGATGCTCAGGGATACCCGCACTCACCTCTGGCAGCGGCATCCCATTGATGATGAGGTCGGGCTGCTGGGGGCTCTGCCCCGTGAAGGTGTGATGGTAGATGTGGTTGGAGCCGGCGTTCCTGTTGTTCTGGCTCTCCACATTGAGGAAGGTGCTTTCGGAGCGGCGGCAGCCCAGCGGCAGGGTCTGCTGGTGGTAGTCGAAGTAGTTGAGGGATGAAGTGAGAGAGGAGCAGCTCACAACGTTCATTTTATCCGTCTCCTCCACGTCCCGCGGTACCAGGCGGATATCATTCTTGCTGATCTTCTTCTTCTTGCTTGATTTCTTTTGATGCCCATAGGAGTACTCTGCGATTCTGGGGGACAGAATGGAAATGAATAGCTGAGAGCATCCTGAACCTGCCCCGCTAAGTACACATCCAGAAACCCAGAGGGCTTGGCCCCCATCTCCATGTAGGCTTCTTAGTCATGCACATTACGTCATGTTTCGGGTCTGGTGGCACGACACCATCTTTAGCTTATTTTCATATGTATAATGCTTTCAGGTCAAATATGCAAAATAACGGGAAGGAAGAATATGCTTCTGGGGTTTTTTTCCTAGTGTTTGTAATTGCTGATATTTAGCTACTAGGAGTAAAGTCCAGCCTGCAGAGGAGAAAAATGGAGATGTTAAAACCAGTTTCCATGAACTGAAAAGGGTACCTGCATTCATTTCCATGTAGAATAAGGATTCTAAACAGGATTTAATTTGGTCCCCATAATGCAAATTCAAAATGAAGAGGGGATTTTTTTTCCCCAGTTCATTTTCCACAGCAGTAAATAAAGCAGACCCAGAAGCAGCCCGAGCTGGCAAGCTCAAGTCTCTCACACTCCAAAGGCTGTTTGTTTATTAATGCCTTACCCAATTTGCTGCTGTTTTGACTATCTCCTGATAATACCTGATAACCCGAAAGCTCTTCTCCAACTGCATCCTCTTCATCCCTCACCCCCTGACACCCACACCCCCTTCTGCTGGGAGATGCTTTTGCCTTCTAGAAACCGGAGAGCAACAACTGTGTTTTGCAAAGAGAAATGATCCTTTTTGACCTTCTTTTTTTCCTCCTTACTGCAAGCTTGTTTTTCTCTGCCTTTCTTTCCCTCTCTTGCTTCCCACCTGCCAAAAGAACCGACTGATGAAGTGCCTTGTTTGCCTTCTGCAAACCACCAGAGGAAAAAAGTTACCCTTAAAACAGCAGCCGAGCAAATAACCATAAATATACAACTGCACCTCGCAGGAACTGGGTATGCTCTGCTCAGAGTGGCTCCTTTTTCCAAATGCCAGTGCCCCACAGATGGATTTGTACATGCACAGCACAGGGCAGCTCAGTATTTCCCAGGGAAGCACATCGAATGCTACCCACAGTCAGAAACACACATCTGAAAGTCAGGACTTTGCTCTTCTTCTGGTTATGATATCAGCGTTTAAAAATAAAGGGGGAAAATATCCAAGAGCTGCAACAGAAATAATGGGATGAATAAATAACACAGTTTATCTCGAAAGGCAAATATTGGACAAATATTGTTGTTCCAGAAAGCTAATTGCCTGAGCATGAAAACGCCACCAAGTCGAACAGCTCTCATATAACCTTACGTGCCTCATAAATTAACCCATTTTATGAAGCCACTCCAGCAGCTGCGGTGGAGAACCCCTCAGATAAGGCTCTGCAAAGCCCAAAGGCACGCACTCAGCGTGGGGAGAGGGTGCCCATGGTCACCATGAGCCTACCTGGTGCTTCTCCACCTCTGCGGCCGGCTCCTCCTGCTCAGATGCGCGCTGATAAGAGCCCGTGCATCCAAGGAGCGTGCAGATAAATCGGGGGAAGGCGGCCATTCCTGTTGTGCCACCAATCTATACGTTGCTGCCTCGTCTAACAATGCTTGATGAAGCTTTAATTGTTCTGTTTGCCTCAACGTTTTAAGTTTGGCAACGCGAGAGCCCAATTATTTCCTGCAGGCATTCATTTCGCTGTCCTTTCTCTATTGACCAATTATTTAATTAAACTGCACGTCATTAATCCCGAAGCCATCACAGTAAACCCAGAGCTTATACCTATGTGTGAAGCTCTCAGGGGCCACCACCACAACGTGATTTCTACCCATTCAGCTCCTATTCTCATTGAATGGGCCGAGCTGGCAAGAAATCTGGAGGATGAGCTTTCACTTGAAGCCTGACCTCCCATAATACAGCACAGACTGACCTTTATTTGCAGATGATTTTTTCCCCCATTGAGGAAAAAGGCTCTAAGCTGTGAAAACGGGGTATAAACCCCAAACTCTCCACCATTATATTCCTGCCTAAATAAAAGTTTAAGGACCGCACATCTCCCCCCGCGCCGCAGAATTGCCGGGGGCCAGCGTTGCGTTTCCAAGGTAGAGCCAAATTAATTCCCATCCCTCCCCTCCGAAACGACTCGGAGCCCAAGGAATGGAGAAGTCATGGCTATTTCACCAGTAACAGGATTAAACCATTTATGAGGCATTGCAGCTGCTCTTTTATGGCATCTGATTGATATTCATGTGTGGTTAGCATTTGTCTCCTAACTTGTGTAACACAGAGAATAGTAAAAGAGAGACAATAATCGCGGGGCTGTTACATATTCAGGGGGATGGATTTCCCCTATCACCCTTTCAGCAGCTCTGGGCGCGGGGCTGACCTCCCCTCCGGCATTTCGGACACAGGAGCACGCATCCAGCCAGGGCAAAATCCCTCCTTGGCCCCATTGCTCCCAGTCCAACCGGCCGTGCCGGGTGCTGGAGCAGCGGATCGGGGGGAAAAGGGGTGATTTGGGGCACTATTCTCCCCAGCTGGCCCCAGGAGGAGCCGCATCGGGCGCACAATGGCTCTTTTGAACAGCGAGCAAGGGCTCGGGGAAGGTCTGCAGCGGGGATGCTGCGGCGGCGGGGGGCTTCCCCCCATTGTGAGCCACGGGAGAGGCACTGGGAATGGGGGG